TGCTCAGGAAAATTAAATTTCTAAAGACCTTAAGCTCGTTAGGGGCAAGTCTAAATATTAAAAAATAAACAGAAAAATGATCAAAATTATTTCTGAATTATGCGAAATATACCACTTATACCCTCTGTTACTTTTTGAGATAAAAACTTTTCCCGTCGTTATCCTAAAAGACCATAAAATATCCTCAAGAGTTAACGGTCTAAATTTTTAATAATGTGGTCAGTCAACTAAAACTAATTCCTCCACCTAAGCGTTGCCAGCCAGGATTCCTATTGAATTGTGAGATCACTAATACTGATAGTATTACAACAACGACGCAACATTAACTAATTCCTCCACCTAACCGTTTACAAAATGCATTATTTTAATTAAAATTAAGAATATTTTCAAATATACTTTAAATATAGCTAGATGAGAGGATTGCAATTTAAAGGGAAGGGGAAATAAATGGAGCTTTGCATGTGTATGAGTTAAATAAGGGGTGGGAAAAAGGTGAAAGAGAGTTAAATTCAGAATTGAATAAGGTAGCATGGAAGGAAGGAAAAATGTCCTATTTTGGAAAGGCAATAAAATAGGTTATTTAGTGAAAAGAATATTTTAAAATAAACTAAAAAGGAAATTACAAAAAAAATAAAAAATAAAAGGGCTAATTGTATTTTATTTGGTTATTTAATTATTGACAATTTTGGTTTTAAGTATGTTTCTTCTGTTGTAATCTATGTGATGATATTTAATTTGATACAAAGTGAATAAATTTCTTATTGTGATCTGGTGTTAGTCTCATATTAGTTATACGCATTACTAAAATAATGATCTTAAATTGATTTAATATACAAAATCAAGAGATAATTAAATATTTTTATTAATAATAGGTCATTTAGCGAGGAAAATGTTTAAAAATAAGCCAAAAAGGAAATTAAAAATGAAAAATAATTTATTACTAAGCTAATAATAGTATTATTGATAATTCTGATTTTTATTTAGTGATATTTCCTTGATTTTATAAAAATTTTAATTTTATTTTTATGATTTCAGATTAGTCATAAATATTTGTGGACAATTAAAAAAAAATTTAAAAAATATGCATTTAAAAGTTGAAGTGGTACTTACTCAGTCCCATATTCATTGTACACATTACAAAAATAGTTATCTTAAATTATTTGTGAATTTACAAAATTATCAAGACAGAGTTAATTATTATTTTTTATTTTACCCTTGTATAAAAAATAAGTTTGTAAAGTTCTAAAATAATTTTAAAAAATAAATTAGTAAAATCATAATTTTTACTTATTTACAATTTATTAAAAAGTATTAAAAAAAATGGACAACTAATAAAGAATTAAAAAAAATATTAAATATATAAATGTGCAATATTTTTTACACTGACTAAAGAAAATTCCATTAATTGAGTCAGAGTATTTGACAAATACATTTCACCTATAATTAATTAAATTGTGTTCATTTGATGTCTTTGCTTATAAAAATATATCTACAATTTACTATGACTATTAATTGTCAGTATCACTTTAATATCCACTTATTATGTTAGGTTTGTGCAATTACTCTATATTTGACAGTAATATAACTTTGAAATAAATCAAATATAATATACTTTATACTAAGGTAGAAAAAAAAATTAATTAATTAAAAATTATATATAATGAGTCACATATCACAAAATTAAAATAAAAACTCACTAGTAATGACATACTAAATTGATACCATAAATGAATTTGAAAAAAGGTAGTTAGGTTTGTGCAATTACTCTATGTTGGAGAGTAATATAACTTTGAAACAAATCAAATATAATATACTTTATATTAAGGTACAAAAAACACATATTTTAATTAATTAAAAATTATATACTACCAATCAAATATCGCAGGAATCAAAATAAGTACTCACTAATAATGACATACCAAATTAATACCATAAATGAATTTGAAAAAAGATAGGTTTGTGCAATTACTCAATATTTGAGAGGAATATAACTTTAAAACAATTTGAATATAATATATTTTATATTAAGGTACAAAAAACACATATTTTAATCAATTAAAAATTATATACGACGAATCAAATATCGCAGGAATCAAAATAAGAATTCACTAATAATGACATATCAAATTGATACCATAAATGAATTTGAAAAAAGGTAGTTTGGTTTTATCAATTACTCTATATTTGGGAGTAATATAACTTTAAAACAAATCAAATATAATATACTTTAAATTAAGGTATAAAAAAATATATATTTTAATTAATTAAAAATTATATAATTAGTTACATATCGCAAGAATCAAAATAATAACTCACTAATAATGACATACCAAATTAACACCATAAATGAATTTGAAAAAAGATTGTTAGGTTTGTGCAATTACTCTATATTAGTAATATAACTTTAAAACAAATCAAATATAATATAGTTTATATTAAGGTATAAAAAACACATATTTTAATTAATTAAAAATTAAATATAACGAGTCACATATCGCAAGAATCAAAATAATAACTCACTAATAATGACATACCAAATTGATATAAATGAATTTGAAAAAAGGTAGTTAGGTTTGTGCAATTACTCTATATTTGAGAGTAATATAACTTTATAACAATTCAAATATAATGTATTTTATATTAAGTTACAAAAAAACATATATTTATGACGAGTCAAATATCACAGGAATCAAAATAAAAACTCACTAATAATGACATATCAAATTGATACCATAAATGAAGTTGGAAAAAAAAAAGCGTACGAGATGAAAAGATTATTTTCGATATAAATAATAATTATATATTATTTTTTCCAACAAAAAATTAAAAGAAGGTTTAATTGAATATGGTAGTAGTCTAGTAGAAGATGAACACAAACATTTAATTTGTATTTATCATATGACGTAAAGGCCTCATTATTCTCAACTGTCTCAATTACTATTTGCATTTATTTGATTTTATTAATTGTTCTCTCAATCAAATATATATGAAATATAATTGCTATCCTATTGTTTTTTTTTAATGCTCTAACTACCCAACCTCAACATATTTCAAGTTACCAATATTACCCTTTTTTTCCCTTCTAATGCATTAATATAAACGTCGTTAATAAATAAACGTGTTTTTTAATGTGATTTTTAGCTGATATTCATGTCTTTCAATTTGGATAACAATATAAAGTGGAACAGCTAGACACACACGTCCAACATGACAATTTACTCGAACTGATTTTTATTATTATCATGTAGGACGAGTGTGTATATCTGTTTATGTTTATACAAATTTAAATGTTTATCTGCACAAATTTAAAATTGAAAAACATGGATAATAATTAATGTCAAATTAAAAGACACGTCTATATATTATTCTAGGTCTTTACCTAAATAATTAAAACATCACATACATATACATAGCCTATGTATCATCACATTGATTATTTGGATTTATAACAATTTAGTCTTTGAACTACTTTGAATTAAACCCTTTAATATATCCTCTTAATACACACCATGTTCCTTTTTTCTCTTCTTAAATTCGACGTTTGATATCTTCTTTTAAATTTTGAGATTTTTCGTTTTATTTCAGAGCTCAATTTCAAATAAATATTCTTCTCCATCCCAACTCAATTTATGGTGACGTACATAATAGTACTATGTCATTGTTATTATTACTTTAGGTGACTCGAACCTTAGCCCACATAAAAAATTTGATGAACAAAATACACTAGGAATTCTCTGTCTTAGTGGTCAATTCATCAAGTCAATTCTCAAAGTGTAATTCACTTTACAATATGCCCAAGAGGAAAACAAAAGCCATTAGTGGTATAGTTATTAAAACTCCCAAATATTAGCCATTCTATTCAAAGAAAAATTATAATTTTGTCTATATTACTCGAATTTTTTAAAAATGTTACGATAAAATCTGACCCTTCTAACACGATTGCGACCACATTTATATTAGAGGGTCAAAGTTTATAAGAATGTCCTTTTGCACTCTACTTTGCCAAAGAGAAGTTGCAATACCTCTATTTTTTTTCTATACTAAACAAAAAAAAAAGGAAAATGCACAAGTACCTTCTCAATTTATGTCCGAAATCACAGAGACACACTTATACTATACTAAGGTCCTTTACCCCCTGAATTTATTTTATAAGTAATTTTCTACCCCTTTTCAACCTACGTGACACTATCTTGAAAAAAAAGTCAATCAGTGTTAGGCCCACAAGATGGTGTCACGTAGGCCAAAAAATGATAGAAAATTATTAATAAATTAAATATGTCTCTAAGATTTCGGACATAAATTGGGAAAATACTTGTGCATTATCCCAAAAAATAATTAAAAGTTTCTAAATTGCTTGTTAAACTAACATTTTCCCTTTCAAGAGATTAATAATTGACAAATTAAGATCAACTTACAATGCTAATGTGTCATGCTCTAATTGGACAATAACTAAAAAGTCATTGTAAATGAATGAAATTTTTCACCTAATATATTTTCTCTTTTTCTTTTTTTTCATAAGAAAAATGTGGACACTTTTAGTTGGTCCATTTACAAAGTCTTCTCTTCTTCTGCAAAAAAAAAATGTAACATTCCTTAAAACTCACTAACCCCACAACTACTACAAAAGGAATCAAACAGACACATTTTTTTTTTTAGTCTATTTAAAAAAAAATAAATTATTTTATCATAAGAAAAAATAATTTAACTTTAAAATTTCATTTTTAACCTTAATGAAACAATTCTCAATCATATTGTTTTAGACCAAAAGTTCTACTTTAAATAGCGAGTCAGGTCAAACAACGCCACATGGAATGGATTAACAAACAAAATAGTAAATTAAGCTCCAAATCCCCATTTCTAATTTTCATCATATGGCTAAAATTTCAAAGTCAAAATAGAGCTCAAATAGTGCTATTTATAGAAAACTAAAAACAAACAGGGGTAGGGGGGGTTTGGGGGTGGGGGGTAGGGGGTTCTTGAAATGATTGACAAAAAAAGTTTTAAGTGATCCTTCTCCTAGTAGTACAATTGTTGGATTCATGAATTACATCAAGCAAACAAGTGCTTTTGCATTTAGGGCATCTTGGATCAACCTCAGCTAACATGACATACATCATACACCTTGGACATCCAACTAGCACCATGGATGTTGTTGTTTCAGGGCTATTAGGATCGCGGCGTTGATGAGATGGCGAATCCTCTGAGGACACACATGAGCTTGTTGGTGATGTTGCCAATGATCTATTAGGCGATAACGACTCTTGTTGATCAATGTGGTACTGGTACTGGTGCTGGTGTTGGTCCTGATGGTTAACAACCCTTGGTGGTGATAAATTCAACCTCAAGTCAAGTTTAGGACCATTTCCATTCCTTCTACTCATGTTTTTTTTTTTTGTTATTTGAAAAATCCTGAAATCAAACAACAACAACAACAAAACATAAGAAAATGTTTAACAAAAATAGTATATATCAAGAATCATAACTCTTTCATTTTAACATGAGGAAAAAAAAAGATTTTTCTACACCCCTTTTGTCATGTCAAACACAAAATAATCCTTGGACAAAAGTATAATTATCCAAGAACGATCAACTGAACACCCTTTTCGTTAATTTTCAGTGAAATTTCTGACTCTGCTACCGTGTTCCTGTATGATCATTCTTGACAAGAGTTGTGAGTAAGTGTTTGTACCTTAAAAATGATTTCTTGTAGCTCCACAATGTTAGAAAAAAATGATTTTCAACAAGTTGTTGATGATGATTATGAACTTTTGGACTTGCAAAACCTCATTATATATAAAGGAAACTTTAGAGGGTAGAAATGGGATTACATTAAAAGTTAATTAAATTACAATTGTAGGGGGTGGGGTGGGGGGTGGGGGGGAGGAGAAAAAGAGAGAAGAGTCTTTAATAGGAATTTAATTGAATTGAAGAAGGAACAGTACAATAGATAGTTGTAAATAGAGAGGCAGAAAATGTATTAATTGTTGGAAAAATCCCAAGAAAGTTTGCAGAAAAAGGAAAATTGGAGTAAATATTGCAATTACAACTAATTAGTGCATGCAGTGTAAAGGGGGGTGGGGGTGGGGTGGGGGTAGGGGGTGGGTTGGGGGTGGGGTAGGGGGTGGTTGGGGGGTGGGGAGAGGTCTTTCATTCATTGCTTAATAGAGTCGGTGTGGTGAAATATATACATACATACAACATACATACATGTATATATAAGGCATATAAAACATAAATACATGTATATATAAGGCATATAATATGTACATGTATACAAACATATATAACAACAAAAAAAGGATAATTACGATCCTAATCACTTCGACCAACTAGTTTACAAAATAGTATAGATTGTGTTATACTTTTACTAAATATACATATTATATACACTAATACACAATATCTATTTCGACCAGATCAATAAATTAGTTGATCGAACTATATATATATATATATATAAAAGAAAAAGGTAACTTTCATCACCAATACTATATTGTTTGGGTGGTTGTTACTAGTTGTATTATATTATATTTTGTTTTGGTTATTACTTAGATTATAATGTTATGTAACGATGAAAAAACTCATTTTATGTAACGATCTATTTGGTGTGATTCCACTGTCACTTTAATATTTTGTCGTTATTTATTATTTAATAATCGTATTTTCTCTTTTATTCTACCTTTTCATAGTAGCTCTATCACGTACTCATTTTTGTTGTAGGTTTATCATTGAAATTATAAATGATTGATATAATAACGATGAAAAACGATATAATCTACCAAATATTATATTTGTTAAAATAATAAAATACGATATATTATGATACAATTCGTAACAACCATTCAAATAAAGAGTTGAAAAAGACATTGTGGCCTTTAAAGCTCAAAACTAAATTTTCTAACAAATCCAACTACATACTTATTAATTTCAATATCTATAATAAATTCATGAGATACTTATGATGGGCTTTTGTATATTTAGTTAAGAAAATGAATGAGAGCATTATGCCTCATTTGCACTTTTGACCCAATGTTGCACTAATCTTTAATTTATGTTCTTAGTAATAAAATAAATTAAAAAAATATTGTGCATAATTTTATATATTTATATCATAATATAATAATTTATAAGTTTGGACATAATCTTAATTCTTAAAAGAACTTATGATCCTACTAGAAACTAGTTTAATCGCTGAAAAGTAAAAATTAGAGATCAATTTATTTAAAAACAGATCGTGTAATTTTATGCATTACGCTACTTATTTTTAATGTAAGATTTTCACCGGTATCTACTTTCTAGGTAGTACCAATTACTAAATGATTTTTAAAAAAATTTATTGATCTTGTAGACAACGATCTAATAAATTCTTCTTTTTTTTAAATAAATTGAAAATATTTGAAAAGATGTTAGATAATTGTCTAAAATTTTATAAATTATTGCAAATGTTAAACGACAATATGATATTTTGTTTTCAATATTGCACAATTTATGAACATACATTAAAATCGTGTCTAACATTATTCGAAAAAATAATTCTTAAAGGGCTATATTTACACTATTTTGGAAATAAAAACAAATTTTTTAAATGTGGACCCTTTGGAGCAAGAAATTAGAAGCAACCAACAATTTTTATTTTTTTTTGTGTATATGGGTATTTTTAGTAAATATTAATTGTATAAACATAACATTACAAAGAAAAAAAAGACAAAATTATTTTTTTCTCTATTATTTTTAAGGAAAAGAATTGAAAGGGAAAGAAAAAAAAGAGACTTTTTAAAAATATATATATATAATAAGTAATGGTTTTAAATTTATGAAAATACTTTTATGTCACCTACTTATTATCATTATTTAATTTTATTGTATTTATCATCCAAACTTAATTTTCAAGTTTAGTATTGAATAGTATTTATTGCAAGCTTAATATATTTGTTGAACTTATTATGTTAAGAGTTCACATATTTTGATTATGAATTAATACTAATTAGCTGTCAATTTTAATGAAAATCAAGAAAAGAAAATAATTCAAATGCCTACTTGCTACCCTACCCCTCCTCACCCCCCTCCCCCACCCCCCAAAAAATTAAACTTTATAACAAATTAATTAATATAAAATATGTTTTTTAAGTAAAAAAAAATAGATGCAGATTTATATTCTAGTTTTATTCATTCATATTTTAATCGACTCACCCATCAACCGACTCGTGTTCAACTTGCTCATCTAGGATATGTATGTATAAAATATGGATAAATGATTTAACTCGTTTTTACCATGTAATTAAAAAAAAGATAGTTGAACTTTTTTTAGGGGTGGGGTGGGGGTGGGGGTGGGGGGTTGTGTGTATGTATATATTATTAATTGTATCATTCATACACATATAGTCAAGTATGACTAAATATTCAAAAGCTCAAGATTCTAAATGAAATTAATGGTCATGACAAAAGCATTTAGTTTTTTTTTCCCCAACTAAAAATTTATATCACCTTATGTTATTAAAATCATCTAGAAATTAAATTGATGATATACCTACGTCTACGAGTTTTCGAGAATAATTTTTCCTATCTTTATATAAAGATACACCTGCCTATACTCTATCTTCCTTATATCCCACCTATAAAACTACGTATATTATATAGTCGGTTTTCTTATCCATTTTTTTTTTATTATTCCTCACCTCATCAAGGTCATGTTTGTCTTCACAATTTATGGATTTTTATCAATAAATATAGATGAATGCATGTATACAAGTTTGTATTAAAGTCTAGAGGAAGTTGGGAGCTAAATTGTGTAATTAAATTTTCTATTGGAAATGTATATATATATATAAGTAATATTAAAGCTTACGCAATTGATAGTCAAATAAAAAACATATATGTTGCATACTTTACAATTCTTGAAAAGAAATTAATCAATGTTGCCTTAGTATTGAAGTTGCATAAAATCTCATCTTACAACTTTAAAAATCTAAAATTATTCATCGACTAAAAGTAGACGATTGTGAAAAAGTAGATATCCCAAATTTTTTTAAAAAAATTTCTTTGTATTTTAATATATGATCAAAGATTCGAAAGACTAAAAGATGGGGGGATAATGATGTCGAACCTTTAAATGGTCCAAATGATTTATGGAGTATTAATAATTGAGTTAAATAAGGATTATTAATTGAGTTAAATATATAATTTGTATTGTTGACGTATTGTGGAAAACGTGTTGAATCAGATTTTGTAAGGTGATTTTTATTTTATTGACATTTTTATCATAAAAAAATTCAAACATAAAATTATTTAATTTTTATCTGTGAAGTCAAAAGATCGATCAATCGATAGACATTCTTACCAAGACAGTATTAATCAAGAATCTTTACAACTCAATATACAAATTGGACATTGAAAATATCTACGACTTAACTTGAAATTCTACAAATTACTTTTATATATATATATATATATATATATATATATA